ATGAAGTACCTTGGATAATCTCCAGAAATCAATTTAAAGGGTAATAAAATAATTGCTGATGTAATATTTCCATATTTCCCTTATAAATATTATAAAAACACAAAATAAGTATAAATAAGTATTTATATTTGTGTACAAGCTGTTTAGATTGTCAAAAAGCCTGTGTTTTTAGGGTTATTAACGAAGTTCGTGTACTCAGACCAGTAATATTTGGGGTCACAAGTTTTTGCCATGAATATTTTGTGGGTCAGAAGACAAAAAGTTTGGGAACCACTGGTCTACAGTATCATGTAGTGTACACACTGCATTTTATGGTGTGCCATTTTAGTGATCAATGCTGCAGATAATGCATGTTTTGTGTTTACCCTCTGTGACTCTGTTCACACTTGGACTTGTGATTCTACGCATCATTGGAGATTGTGACAACAGCTACAGAAGCTGTAAATTCACCACTATAACCTCCTCTATCAAACGTCCACGAATCATTTGTTGAACCGGTCAATTTGAATAAGTCTTTTAAATAAAGACAAAAAGGGGAATTCTTCACAATACATGTGGCTCCACCCACATGACGTGATGACATACCACATATGGCGTACGTAATGATGCAACTCATTCAAACTTGAATAATTTTGAATAGCTCTATGAAACAAAGAAGAAAGAGCTATTTATCCCATCTTTAGCTGCAGACTGTGGGACTGACACAAACCTGTTGATGTTAGCTTGCTAGTTAGCTGTTAGCTAACTTAAAGTTGGCAAAACATAATTTAATGGAAGCTACTTGTTGCAAACGAAAAAATTAGTTCCACTGTTAGCTGTTAGCTGGTTAGCAAAACAATGCAGCTGCCTTTAAAGAATGCCTTTTCCTTAATCGTTAGTATTAAATTTTTAAATAGTTTACAATTTTTTCCTAAATATTTTGAATATTGTAATGTTTTTGCATGGTTTATGGGGTGACAACGCTGATCAGATCTCTGTGATGACTTCTCGATGTTGCTCTAGGGTCAGTGAGCCGAAACTGCACCAGCAGAGGCTGGTCAAAGCCTTTCCCACCGTACCACGTTGCCTGCAGTGTGGAAGATGACATTCCTGAGGTGAGAGCTGTGGAGGCGTGGCGGGCTTAGGAGGTCAAACAGGAGGTTAGAGGAGAACGTTAGAAGAAGGGTAGCAGCAGGAATGAGCTGGGTGACAGACTGAGAAATGGACAGGACAAATATAAAGACAACCAAATTACAGACTCTAAACACACTAAAGAAAAAAACTGTTTGAAGATGTACTTTCTTAAATGGGTGAAATAAATTGCAACACTAAAATAAAGAAATTAAAGAAATTCAGACACAAATACAAATTCAACTGTAAATCTGAAAATAAGACAAAATGATGTCACTCAGACTGTAATGACTGAAATTATGTTATTTACAAAGAAAATGGACAGTGGTACTTAACTTTTTTTTTGTAGATTCTAGCCTTAGTGCCAGATAAAACATCTTTTTTTGTTTTGATGTAAAATGATTTTCAAATGTTCAAAAAAAATGCTGGAAGAGAAGGCTTTTTTACGGACGATTCAGCCATCTTTTCAGTACAGCTTAGGCTCAAGTTTACCAGTAATTTTGTCTTATTTTGAGACATTATCTTCATTTTCAGACCTGCCAGTGTTTTGAAAAGCTTTGATACTTTGAAAATAATGTCTTTGCATGTGAAGTCCCTCTACCTGTCTTGTTTTTAGACTGAGGAGTCGTACTTCACCACTGTGAAGCTGATATACACCATCGGCTACAGCGTCTCACTGGGGGTGCTGGCGGTTGCTGTTTTCATCCTGTTGCTCTTCAGGTATGAACCAGGTGTTGGACTGTCTTGTTTATTCAGAGTTTCATCAGCAGTAGCTGTATTTTTGTCAACTTTGATAAGTACAGTGGAATTTAGATTTTAGGAAACAACTTATAATGAAAAATGTTTTTTAAACATAACTCCATGAAGTTTTAAACAATGAGAACAATCTTTCTTTCAATATTTTTCAGGGCTTTTCACACACAACTTGTTAAGCTTTGCCACTGTGTAAAATATTGCATTTCTAGCTCGATTTTGGGGTCATTCATACTGACAAAATACAGGGTGATTCAAAAGCCTTAAGACACCCTTTTATTTCAAACAATGAAATATCTGAAAAACCTGAATACAATAGGCGAGTTTATCTTTTAGACCAGGGGGATAAAACTCAGTTGGGTGAAAATTAAAAACTTTGTCCAAGCCAAGGGCCAATTTCTGTCAATATTTCTTGAAGAAATTACGCCATATTTTTCTCTCTCGCGTTCATTATGTTTTTGTGTATTATTGTATATTTTGCTCTGCGTTGTCACCTTGTGTTTTGAGTTACAATTTTAGAAATTAATTCTTGATGTGATGTTTCAATTTTCTTTGCTTATGTGTAATTATGTTTTCTGTTTCATTTTATTCTTTCCACTATTTTTATACTATTAATGATTGTGCAGCACCTTGTGCAAATATTTCTGTGAAAGGTTCTTTATAAATAAAACCTTACTTACTTACTTACTTACTTACTTACTTACTCACTCACTCACTCACTCACTCACTCACTCACTCACTCACTC